ACGATCAGCTCTTCGACAACAGATAAACTAGAAGTTTATGGGACACATAGCCCGCTATTTGTAGCAAGCTAACAGACACAAGGTCTGGACACAAGACTATTACAGAAATTGCTATCTTCAATGTCACGAAAACACAGCACGTGTGAGCTAAATCTCGTGTCAAGATGTTTCTCCAAATGTCATTAAACGTTGTCTGAAATAAAAATGGACGCAGCGAACTCTTCTGAAATGTCAAGGGAGGGTTGGAGAGTACTTCTTCCGACATGAGGGGTTTTGATTGACAGGTGAAGCAGACTGTACTGCACGAGAGAGCAGACGGCTTGTCTCCTGAGGGAGGGGGTGATCGGGATTGCGTCCTAACCGAACTGACAGTTGGAGCCGATTTGCATCCCTGTCAGACAGCCAGAGTTGGGAAGTTCCAGAGTACACGAGTTGAGTTTTATTCTTCCAGACAACGCAGACTTATTATAACAAGAAAATGGCAGCCATAACTAGTTGTAGAAACTAGAAGAAGGAAACGCTGTCATGTAGCTTAATGATTTGTGTATAGATCTACTTATTTCACCCGACATTCATTCGGCTAAAGCCTAGGTATGTATTGTACACTGTTCAAGAGAAATGCAGCGCCAAATATAGATATTTTTCCGGAGCCTTGAGATATTTCATTTCTTATTTATCATCTATTCCTCGACCCAATAATCCACTCTGACGTTAAATTTCTATAGAATGGGAATAATGCCTCACGCTGGGCAAAGACGTACAAAATCCCGTTGTCATTGACTCGGGATCAGTATATCGATGTGCGCGGTGCGAGTAACCAATAGACAATAAGTAAGAAATAACAAAGTGTTCTGACAACAATTTTGAACTAGAGGTCGGAGATCTCATGTCTTCGTCAGAGGTACATCGTTCTAGAGAAATTAATATGCGTATTCTTCACTCTTTTTAATAATCAATTTGGTCTAAAGAACAAAAGAATCTCTGTACTATTTTTATGGTACAGAACACCCTGAAACGGTTTCCCGCAGATTATACAGATGCGTCGTCACCCGTGTTAGCCCCACCCCCCCTACGTTATTTGAGTTTGGACTGTTACTGGAAAAAAAACGTTCAAGAAATTCTTACTGTGTTGAAAGTGTCACGACAGCGCCGCAAAATATAATAAGAGAAGATGTTATAAAGGAAAGAATCAGAACAGGGTGACTACTGCTGTTTTGTTAATTTGTCTTTATGACAAATAGAAGACTTGTTTCTTGTGTTCTTTGTGTCATAACATTTGTACTTCTACAGTTAGTATATTCCAAATCTAGGCATCTCGTTTTTCGGCCCTTCGTGTTTTTATTGCGCGCTTGCCTTAAATTTAAGGTAATTAGATTTAAGGTCTCCAGTGGACGTCATCCATAGCAATTACTTGGTGTGGCCGTAGAAAATACCCTGACATATGCCCAACCTATCCTCCCCCTGCTGAAGTTATAGTACAATCCCTCAATGTAACGTCATTTGATCCCATCCCATTATGGGGTCCCCCCGGCTATATCCAGCTGTCGGCTGTCTCCAAGCAGATGTACAATGTAGGTGGGGGATTTCTAAACACAAAAGGTCCTATTACGGGGACATAACGACCTCCACGACTCTCATCTTTGAACTCAATCTTGGAGACCACGACAGTAATATGCCTATCAAATTTCATTAACTTCCATCCACACATACAAAAGTTATCCTGCTCACAAGAAAAATTAACAAAATGCCCCCTGTAGTCACAACGAAACCTCCCACGAAGCTCAGTAACGAACTTAACCTTGGTCCTGACAATAGTAAGCACCACACCAAGAATTATAATCAACATTTTACAAATACTTGAGTTATCTTGCTAACAAGCCACAAACACAAAAGGTGTACTAACGTGACGCACGGACCCCCCACGAAGCCGAAACTTGTACTTGACTTTGGCCTTAACAGCGGTAATATGCCTGCCAAAAATCATGGACGTCGAATCATGCCTTCCAGAGTTATATTGCAAAATCCGCAGTTCCCCACACTCCGGCGAGACAATTTCATAGTCCTTCTGACGAAGACAATGAACATTTCTGTCGGTTAAGAAAGAAAAACGGTACCGAATATAAACGTTCCTTTTTATATATTTAGTGTCACTGCTTTTAATAGCATTTTAGGCATCCAGATAACCTTCGGAAAAATTTCATGTCACTTCTTTTATGGGATTTTGGACCTCTAGGTTCTCTCTTCTATCCTTCATTTTCAAACTCTACAAATGGATTGATAACTCAGAGATAAGGTAGTAATAAAGCTGTTGTGGGATTAGGACTTGAAGGAGCTAGTTATAGGTCTCTTCTGATCGTATTCAGATAGGCGTTTTATCTAGAAAATGCCCAAACCTGAAACTTTAATTTTGAAACAAAGAAGTACATGCCAACTTCTTGGTCCGATACCTTTGGTATTTCGCCGCAGGTTTGAGTGATCCAGAGTCTGATTCCTGTAAATACCAGGTCGGAGACACAGGCATGATGATGTGGAGCAACCGTCCTCGCCGCACCTGCTCGTTCGCGCCCAAACGATCTGTTCATTTGTCAGATCGGCACGCGCCCCCCTCCCCCAGGACCCGTCATTTGCCGGCCGATCGGGCCACATTACCGCGGCTGGACGCTGATGAGGCAGAGAAAAGCTGAACAGCAGGGGAAGGGAAGGGAGCACAATGGGGCCATCACTAATCGGTCCTTCGGAACACCCTCCAGTCACGCGCCCATTTCCGCAAACAAATTATATCCACAAACCGAGTAATTTTAAAAAAAAGTTAGATAAGAAAAAAAATGATAAAAGTTGGCGTTTTACAAAACGCAGGTGTGAGTAATGAATTGGAGACAGCTATTTGAACGCCGATCGTTTATAATTTTTTGGAAAAGAGAGGACAACAGACGGACTTTGGCGGGAAAATCGATGTCGGACTGACCACCAGCTTTGAGATGAAATAGGGTCAAACGGGAAATCATACGCATCAACGGTGGTCATGAATTTCCGCTGACGGAAAATCATTCTCGCCGACCCTGTAAAACAACCATGGATTTTTTTCTCCGTTCGAACGCCATGTGTGTGGCGTGTGTGACTTCGTTAGCTCGTTAGCGTACTTAATCGCCATTCTCCGTCGTCAAAAGTACACACATTTGATAATGAATTCTTCTGCCACGCCAATATCCCAGAAGAAAAGGAGATCTGGCTGCGAAAATCGGATTTAGGAGGATGCATTGATCAGTGTTTAGTCGGGAGCTGTCGATACTATGCACCCGGCGGCGAAGATTAGATTTTGTACAAAAGTACGTGATCTATTTGCACAGGCGCACACGTAACGGTATTAAGTTTGTTACGTACATCCTGTCTGTGAGAGGAGGAAAGCAACACAACATACAATGTAGTACAGCTCACATATTGACAATGCTACAAAGAACGTTACGTAAATGCGACATTTGGGACAACAACGTTAACATGCACGACATAACCAAACAGGGAAACAAACATCACCGTGGACACTGTGGATATGGATGTTTTAGTTTGGAGCTAGCGACGGCTGCCAACCTAGAACAATCTAAACGTAACATACTTCGTCGACCTTTGTTGCATTTTAAAATAAAACAATATAGTTAAGATTTTTTTTCTTTGGTAGAATTCTAGAAATAGACTGGAATGGCCGAGACAACCAGCTGAGCAAATCTGTTCTTTGCATATTCTTGTTAAATTGATGTCATTCTACACGGAAATGGCCCGCAAGGTTAACTTGAAAGTTGAAACTATAGGTGTATATATCGAGAAACAAACCTTGTAAAACACGAGGACAAAAAGGCTGTTCTGTTAGCAATAGACGCAAGAGGGCGCTTGGCACAAGTGTCCTTAGTGAACGTGCATGTGTAGTGAGTACTATTACTAGTTTAAAAGGCCACAGCAAGAAAATTTTATGGATGACATCCTCCGCAGACTCCATATCCAATGCGATAGGGCGAAAATAAAACATGGCGGGCCAAAGAAAACAAGATTCCTACAATTTCAAATGTTCACATCATATACCTTAATGACAGGATGTTGTGATTTTGATGAACTAGGAAGCGATTTGACGGTTAACGGCTGATTCCACGGGCCAGTGGGGGTGTCGGACAAATGTCCTCTTCCACAGAGAAATATACCGATTTCGGAGGAATGTACGCTTATAACTGGAGGAACGTCTGCTTTCCTGGAGGAATGTACCAATATTCTAGAGGAATATCTAGATTCGATTGGTCGGGGTGTCATGGTGGATAATTTCAAAGTGGAAGGAACAGGTGTTAAACAGGATTACGGGGTGATATTTCTTTATTCATATGCAATGCCAAATTTTACGTGGCAGTAACTTAAAGAGAAGTAATGGTCAAATAATGTGTCCGTTCTAGGACGAGCTTTACCGCCTCTGGCGGGACCAAGTCGGCATTCGGCCGAGATACGCTGGGAGGGGGCATCAGCAAGCAGGTCGTTGATCCCTGACATTGATAACACGCTACCTTGCGTGTTTTCATCAAACAACAATGAATGCAGTTTCGGAGAATCGTGATCGGACACGGTTTACAAGGAATGTATGGCACGTGGACCAGATGTGAGGAATGTGAGTTACCCGAATCGCGGTTTGGGTGACTTCACATGAACAAGGCTTTAGTAGAGCTCTACATCAAAGCAATAAAACTGGTATTGTCAAAAAAAAGTTTGTTACCAAGGTCATTGCTTTGTAACATAAGACTAACACAGTATGATGCGACACAGCTCACTGCACTTCAGAATACATGTATATGGCCAGTTTTTTTTTGTCGCTACCCTCACCAACCTTGAGTTGATATTAACATAACTGGCCTGGATTACAGCAGTAGCGCCATCTGGCGAGAGCTACAAGTATGGTCGGATCCGGAATCAGATACACTGAAGTGAACGTCCGTTGCCATAACATTGACATGATTGATATTGTGATAATATCAGTATATATAAGATTTATAGTGACTGTCGTGTATGCCTGATATCATAGATAAAATGCGAAAATGTCACTAGAAAAAGACAAAGACTCAAATGTTATCACCGTATCCTCAGTAGCCAGTTATCACTTGTGAGTATATATATATATGTGAATATATATTAGGCTGGATTCAAACAATGCATTATATTGTTGAACTTATAATATATTATTAAACAGAAAAACTGTAAAAGATAATGAGAAACTAACTTTCTTTAACTGGTTGTTTGCATTTCGAGGTTGATTCATGTGATTTTTTTCTAATCAGAAAAAAATGAAATTGACAAAAGAAATCAAAAGATGGCGTGGCTCAAGTGAGAAAACATTACATGGATTATCTGTCCTGTAAACCGAAATTGTCTCACCAGTGATGCCTGTTGCTAGTGAAGTCTTTTGCCAGCGCTTCTCTCTTATGGATATTTACTAAGATGTGAGTGTACAGTTCTCTGTGTGATGTCGAAGTTATAGTAAAGCCATTTCTGTATAAACTCTTCAGTCCGTCTCCTCTCTTAGTCCTGAATATCCAATGAGTTAAAAGATCGTACCTTTGTGGATTCCTTTCCGTTTTGTTGTGACGTAACATCTTGTATCTGGCGACGTCCTTACTCGGACGTGACAGCTTTAACAGGTGTAATTTCAGCCGAATAGCCATATCGTCATCTTCCCCTCCCCATCCACAGAACAAGTTGGAATATCCGTTCACCAGTTTATAATGCCAGGTTTTCAGGGCCGACACTCCACCAAACAGTTCCTGGTAGGGCAGGCTGTAGTTTAATGTGTCGACAGCGACCGAGAGGTGATAGGGGGACTGACTACAGGTGTACAAGTTTCTGTCGTCTTCTGGAAGGAGGTCGACGTCGTGGAAGATGAAGCAGTCGTAAGTAGGATCCTCCTTTAATGCTTCCGTGAAGCCGACGTTGTAGAGCAAACCCTTGCAGAACGTGGGTTCGTCGCCATGTTGTTCTATGACGTAAATGGTGTAGTCAAGCCCCTGCCGCTGGAGAAACGGGTGCATGTGGCGGAGAAATATATCCAGGTGTTTCTCTCGGTCTCTGAACGTCACCAAGACGGCGATTTTCTCCGAGGAACTGGACCTATTTCGTGCAGGGGGACTCCATTTTCCACCGTACCTGACATTTCCGTAAGGATTTTCAGCCCGCAGTGGTTTCTGTAACGTTTCCCTGTCACCTGGCGTCTTCACTAAATGTAGGTGTGTCGTCAGGACGGCGACTTTCTCCGAGGAGCTGGACCGTGTTCTTCGAGGGGGACTCCATTTACCAGCGTACCCTACATGTACCTGTTCATAAGGATTTTCAGCCCGAACGGATTTTTGTAACGTTTCCCTGTCACCTGGCGTCTTCACCAAATGTAGGTGTGTCGTCAAGATGTCGACTCTCTCCGAGGAGCTGGACGAAGTTCTTCCGGTGGGACTCCATTTTCCACCGTACCCGACATTTTCATAAGGATTTTCAGCCCTCAGTGGTTTCTGTAACGTTTTCCTGTCACCTGGCGTTTTTACCAAATGTAGATATATTGTCAAGACTAGTGTGGCGACGACTTGCAGTAAAATAAGCCACCGCAAGCTTGTTTTTCGCATGTTTCCAGGTTGGGTTGGGTTGGGTTAGGTTGGGTTAGGTTGGGTTGGTTGGTTGGTTGGTTGGTTGGTTGGTTGGTTGGTTGGTTGGTTGGTTGGTTGGTTGGTTGGTTGGTTGGTTGGTTGAAACGTACTTCTCCTTCTAAATGGTTGTTGGACAGTTGAATCGGTTCAAACAAAGACAAACGATCGATATTACCTAAAGGGACGACAAAGGAGTGATTTATCATTAAGTTACCTGCACACAAGAACATCTAAAAGACATAAAACTGCCTTTTCTTACCTGTGGTGATGAGATGTCCCAATGCCCTGTCTCGCTCTCACTGCATGTACGTGTCTTCAACGATCTGGTGACTGTATACATAACGTAACCTCACTGACGTATTACATCCTGGTTCGGGGTAGAAGTACCCTGATTGTAATCTTGTTAAGTTGATAACTAGAAAGCAAAAGGCAAATGATGGTGTTGTTCGTTTGTCTTTTTCTTATTTTGGTGAATTTTTCGTATTCGTGTCGTTTTTTTTTAGAAATGGATAATGCACACTTTTAATGATTCAGTGACACATATGTATTAGGGTGTATAATGAGGTAACGTTATGAGGCAGTTATACATAAATAAACATGTCCGTCCTTGTATTTATATACTAATATACGTTTTTTCTGTGTATGCACATCCATGTATCCTAATATAACATACACATGCATGAATGCGCTGATCTTTATTTGTGTATTTCGCAATGGGACCAGACTGCGCAACCATTCAAGTAAAACTATTTGTCAGGATGTGTACATACTGTGTGGAGTGGCTGTCAACACATACTTTGATTGAGCCATGACTCTGTACCTGCTACTATATCTGGCTTGTAAGTGTCAAGTACTGTCGCCAGTTCAGCTGTTTTGTTCCGCACACACTGACAATTTACTAGGAGAAGTTTACTTTTGGATCTCTTGTGACTATGACCCCTCATTTGAGAATTACCCTGCTTTGATTTAAGTGGAGTGGATGTGGCCATTGGGATGTCGCCTGGCTCATGCAGTTTAATCCCGACAAATGATACATTATGCACATAACAAACAAACAAACAAACGAACACCACATGCAACCAGCTACCAGTTTTGTGGTCAGGCTTTAGTAACCACAAAAACCCATCCGTATCTGGGCGTCACATTGACAAGCGGTCTGAAGACAGGGAGAGATCACCCCTCTTCCCTCACCTACAAGTGACCACAAAGAGTGCAACTTGCTGTTTGACTAAAGGATCAATGCAGTTATCATAGGCTTAAACTTTGGACCATATTCGTTTTTTTTTTATCTTGAACTTTCTGCGCTTTAGATAAACTGCAGTCGAAAATTATCAATCTCGGATGGATAATAGAGCATTTTTACGCAATAACCAAAGGCCTTGAACGTCGAATAACCGGCCTTCTTTTCTCAGTAAATTGTTTCTGGCAGAAGATGACATAGAAAGTCTACCTACCTCCGTGGACGGAGATTTTGATTGCGGTCGGTGTGTTTGCGTGTTTGCCTGTGGTTTGTCTGTACGTATATCCACACGCTAAACACACTGAAGTACAGGAAGTTAGGTCAAAGGTTCCAGAAAGGTCCCAGGAAAGGTTATCTCATTTCCTGCTACATGTATATTTACCTATTGGGAAAAAAATAAGTGAATATGAAAGAAGACAACATCCACATAAACCCTGAATGTTTCATGGAGGTATGGAATCTTCAATTTCTTGTTGGATTTGCTTCGCGCGAACAGCGGCCCCTTTGCATACTACCCCCTTCACGCGTACATCTACATACGCCTTCCATTCATATTGAAAGAATCATTAACTACTTTATAAGAGAAGTCGGACAATCATCTCTTGACGGAGGTGATTCCTTTAATCATTCAAATCATGATTAATCCAAAAGAGTGAAATAGAAGAGTAACGGGCAACTTTTTCATTAGAGCATTAGCGCCATCTGGCAAGAGCTACAAGTATGGCAGGATCCGGAATCAGATACACTGAAGTGAACGTGCGTTGCCATAACATTGATATTGCGATAATATCAGTGAATAAAAGATTTATAGTCGTGTGTATGCCCATCATTGAATGTATGACTACAAGTGAGGAAATAGTTCCGAAACTATCCATCATATTAGACCACAGCAGGCAGATGTCTGGATTATCAGTCACAGATTTTTACAGGAAATCATTAGAAGGAGCAGGTAAAGTTAAACGCAAAAATGTCAAAACAAAACGACAAAAGATCCAAATTCTATCACAGTACCACAAAGTCAACATATCAGGCTGGGTAACATTTCAAACAATGCATCTCATCAAGTTATAATGCATTATTAAACAGAAAAACTATAAAAGATAATGAGAAAATAACTCTCTTTAACAGGGTTTGAGGTTGATTCGTGTGATTTTTTTTCTAATCAGAAAAGAAATGGAATCCCAAATAGAAATTGAAAAAATTGGCCCGGCTTAAGTGAGAAACCTGAACGATCTGTCCTGTAAACCGAAATTGTCTCACCAGCGATGATAGTCTATTGTTAGCGCTCTTCGCTTAGTGATATTTACTAAGATGTGAGTGTACAGTTCTCTGTGTGATGTCGAAGTTATACTATAGCCACTTGTGTGTAAACTTCTCAGTCCGTCCCTCTTGGCCCTGAATAACCAGTGATCTAAAAGATTGTACCTTCGTGGATTCAATGCCGTTCTGTTGTGACGTAACATCGTGTATCTGGCGACGTCCTTACTCGGACGTGACAGCTTTAACAGGTGTAATTTCAACCGCCTAGCCATATCGTCATCTTCCCCTCCCCATCCCACAGAACCAAGTTGGAATATCCGTTCACCAGTTGTAATGTCGAGTTTTCAGGGTCCGACGACTCCACCAAACAGATCCT